GTCATTTAATTAAATTTTTAAATTGAAAAATGCAAGATCATGCTTGAGCATGATGGCCAAACAAAGCCAAGTACTTCTATGACACCATAATTACGATTTCTCACTGATCTACTTCTACAACTAATTAATTAACTACTAATCTTATTTTATTTCCCATAACTTCTGCTAATAATCTACTGAATAAATTCAAATTAAATATTAAAAATTGTTAAATTCAATAAAAATCAATTAATATCAATAATTGATGATAAAATTTTTATAATTTTCAAATCCTTATTTAGGCTTAGTGGTTTCTCATGGAAAAAAGGCCGACCTATGCAGTACGGGACAGAAATATTGGTGCAGTAGTCTTCAAAATGCCAAATCCTGTTCAGCCTTTGAGCACTGCAAGGCAACTGCCTGGCTTAATGAACTGCCACCAAAAGTAACAAAAAAAATCTGAAACTTTTGTTTTCAAATCATGTTTCTATATTTTAATTAATTTATTTTTTGTTTAATTATATAGCTTTTAATTTATTAATTTTAATTTGTTTAGGATGATTCTGAAACTTGCTTGTTCTGTGAGAGTGTTGTGAAGGAAGTTGTCCAGTTCATCAAACAGGGTGACACTGAGGTTGGTACCAGTTGAATTATTTTATTTATTTAGTTTTCCATCCTTTCATTCATCCATTCATTCAATCATTCATATGTTCATTCATTTGTTCATCCATTCATTCCAATGATTTTTCAAAGGCGAAAATTTCCAATGCTCTGACTACATTGTGTGGACTAATTCCAGATTATCAAACTTCTCAAGAGGTATGCAATAAAAAAATATCCAAAATTATTGGTCATGTGTATGTATGTATGTACATTTGTTTGTTTGTTTGTATGTATGTATGTATGTTTATTTGTATGTATGTTGGTATAAGTGTGTATGTATGTATGTATCTATGTATGTATCTATGTATGTATGTATGTATGTATGTATTAGTATTTGTGTGTGTTTGCATGTGTATGTATGCATGTGTATGCAAAGTAATTATATTTATCCATATTAGAGAATTGTTAAAGAAATGTAATCATGTGATGAATTTTTTTCATGTGATGATAATTTCTTGGTGCTACTAATTTCTAATTGACTCCTATGACACATGACTTTGGATATGATATCATTTCTTTAGGTATATTTATTAATTATATGAGATTGTTCATTTATTCATTCATTCATTCATTCATTCATACATACATACATTTATTCATACATACATGCATATCATTTCTTTTGGTATGTTCATGAATTATATGAGATTATATATATTCATTCATACATACACACATACATGCAGTTTCATTAATTAATAGTCATTATTATAATTTATTCAATATCGTTATTATAATTTATTCATTAATATTCATTATTTATTTTTAAAAAAATATTTCTTTTCATTTTCAAAAGTGCAAGCAGGTCATCTCAGATTATCTTCCTGAATTGATTGATCTCATCAAGCATGCTGTATGTTCATTCATTCATTCATTTGTTCTTTCTTTCGTTCATTCATTCGTCCATTCATGCATTCGTCCATTCATAATTATGATAGTTTATCTGCTTGATTTGATAATATTTTCCACCATGTATTTTTTATAATCGTTTATATATTGAATCATTTCCCAGTTGGATTGCCAATTTTTCAATTCATTTACTCATGCATTTGTCCAATTATTCATTCATTCATTCACCCATTACTTCATTCATTCATCCATTCATTCATTCATTTATTCCTAGGACCCCAAAGTGGTGTGTAGTATGTTGAAGTTGTGCACTGATAATAAGAAGATCAAGGAAGTTTCAGTAGTTGGTTTCTCTTCATTCATTCATTCCTTCATTTATTTTTTTATTCGATCATTTTTTCATTTAATCATTCTTTTATTTGTTCACTCTTTCATTCATTCTTTTATTTGTTCACTCTTTCATTCATTCGTTCATTTGCTCCTTCATTCCACAGGCTGGTAGCCCTGAATGTGAGGACTGCATTAAGTTTGTCGGGGACATCAAAGTTAAGCTGTTTGGCGATGCTCAAAAAGTTGTTGTTATTATTATTATTAAATTATAACTGTATTATTATTATTATTATCGTCATCATCGTCACATCATCATCATCATCGTCGTCACATCACAATCCTGTCTTCAGGAATCCTTGTTTTTTAAAACACTTGAAACCCACTCTATAGTTATTGTAGTGTTTTTCCTATGATGATAATAATAATTAATAATAATCATAATAATAATAGTAATTATTATTATTATTATTATTATTATGTTTCCACTAATTACAGGCAAAAATAATAAAAGAGTTGAAAAAGTACATCTGCAATAACCTTATTATTGGCCAACCTGAGGTAGGCCTCTGTGTTCTTGATAATAATTAAATAATTATAATTATAATAATAATTATAGTAATAATAAGAATAATAATAAATTCTTGCTGTTATTGTTTTTCAGTGCAATGATATTGTCGACAAACTTGTTCCCAAGGTATTGGATGATTTGGGCGAGAAATTTGTTAGTGCCACTTCATTTATTATTATTAGTATTATTGTATTATATTATGTATATATTTATTATATATTTGTTTTAGTAGTATCATCGTTATTATTATTTTTATTATTATCATTGCCATCGTCATCATCATCAGATCCCAGATTTGTATCCTTATTATTCCTATTAATATAATTATAAAAATTATCATTTGTACTAGTAGTAGTAATGTTGTCGTGTTTATTATTGTTATTATTATTATTGTTATTATTATTATTAGGTTCCGGAAAAGATCTGCCGTGGATTCTGCAAGAGTGGAGTCGCTACGGATGGCATCGATGCTGAACAGCTCCTCATGCAAAAAGTTATAGTCATGTACGTTAATATTGAGGTTAGTCAGTGAGTGATGTG